GACTGATTTGAAAGCATGGGCTTCTTTGGGTCCCCAATGCCAGGGTGAGTCTTTATCTAAGAGTCTATGTAGGGGTTCAGCGACAGATGCTTTGTGCGGGAGGAATGAGGCGTAAAAGTTTAGAAGCCCCAGAAAGGCTTGTAGTTCAGTCTTGTTGGTTGGTGTGGGTGCCTCGTGGATGGCCTTCACCTTGGACTCAATTGGATGGATGCCAGAGGCGTCTATCCTATACCCCAGAAAGTCCACCTGCCTAGTGGCGATGGCGCACTTCTCCCTTTTAAGTTTGAGGCCATGCTGCCTAAACTTCTCTAGTACTGTCCTGACCCTCTGAATGAGTTGAGGTCGGCTGGTAGCTGAGACTAAAATGTCATCGAAATATGGAACAACTCCTGGGAGACCTTGGAGAATCCGTTCCATGAGTGATTGGAAGATACCCGGGGCCACACTGACCCTGAATTGGAGGCGCTTACATTTGAATGCCCCTCTATGTGTGACTATGGTTTGTAATTCAGCTGTCTGATCATCAACAGGGAACTGTTGGTATGCCTGGGACATATCTAACTTGGCGAAAATGGTGCCGGGTTCGAATGTGTGTAACAGGTGCTGAATAACAGGGACGGGGTATGCGCTGACCTGTAAATAACGGTTGAGCGTGGTTTTATAGTCTGCGCAGATTCTTAAACTGCCGTCCTTCTTGAGTGGGGTGACTATGGGGGTCTCCCATTTGGCAAAATCAGTGGGTTCTAACACCCCTTGTTTAAGTAGTTTGTCTAATTCTGCGTCCAATTTAGGACGGATGGCGAAAGGCACCCTGCGTGGCTTAAGGCAGAGAGGAATTGCCTGGGGATCTACAGAAAACGAGATGGGGGTGTCCGAATAGCAACCCAGCTCGCTACTAAATACATCAGAAAAATCAGAAAATAATGTATCTACGTCAGAAGTTGAGACAGCATGGATCCCAGTTACACTAAGGCCGAGGGAAGGAAACCAATCAAGTCCCAACAGGCTGGGGAGGGGACCGTTAACAACCACTAAAGGCAAATGGCCTTTAAAGGCTTGGAATTGAACGTGGAACTTGCCTTTCCCGAGGACAGGAATGTTCTTGCCCTGGTAGTCCCGCAGTGTCAGGTGGCATCTTTGGAGCTGTTTCCTTGACAGTCTGGGCTGGATCTGCTTCAGGGTGTCCCAGGAGATGATTGAGAGTGCAGATCCCATGTCTACCTCCATCCTGCAGGGTTTACCTTCTAGGAAAACAGAAATTTTAATTTTATCAGGGGTTTGGGAAGTATGGTTAGCGTGGTAGCAGGTATAGCAGTCCTCCACTTGCCTTTGGGAAATAGAAGGTGGTGGAGGCTTTTGAGGCAAGGAGCGCCCTGCTTGGCATACTCTAGCGAGGTGACCCTTCTTTTGGCAGTTCAGGCAGATGGCGTTTCTAAACCTGCAGGATGCCCTAGAGTGGGAGCCTCCGCAGGTTAGGCACAAGGGTGGTTGTTTGGGGGTGAAGTTGTTCCTCTGCCCCTCTCCTACCTGTGAAGGCTTCTGATGCTTAAGGCGATTAATGTCTGATGAGTCTGTGGGGTCTTCTTCACTGAGCACTTCTTCGGAATGGATGGTTGGACTGCTGGGCTTTAATGGGGTGCCCTGAATCTCAGCTGCTGACTGGGCAGAGAGCTCAGCAGCCAGGGCTTCCTCCATTGCTAGGGCCAGATTCACGTCCTTTTTTGCTAGCAAACGTCTTTGGAGTCTCAGGTCTCTAACCCCACAGACGATCTGGTCCAGCAGCATGTCTTCCAGATACTCTTTGAAACCGCACTGTAAGGCAGCTGTCCTCAGGGCAGCCATGTACTCGTTGATCGACTCCCCCACTGCCTGTTTCCTGATTCTGAAGGCATACCTTCTGGAGATCTGGGATGGTTTTGGCGCGTAGTGATTGGAGAGTATTTCTTGTAGTTCATCCCATGGGACGCTTCTGATGGCGCGTGGTGCGACTAACGCTGTAGCGGTGTCGAAAACGGTGGCCCCGCAATAGATGAGGAAATAAGACTTCTTTCTATGTTCCGCAGCGTCGGCTAACCCGATGGCATCGAGGAAATGGCTGAAGCGATTCTTGTAGGAGTCCCACGTTTCCTCGTTTGGCTTGAATGGCGGGAATGCTGGATTAGCATTCATCGTGGGTAGCGCCGGGTTCGTCTTCTTCAATCGTCTTTGAAATCGCGCTCTTAAAAGAGCACAGGCTGTGACTGTCTCTCTGGGCTACGTAGCTCTTTTTGAATTTCCCGCCCTTGGTGAGCGTTAGCGGCCGCGGCTACGGTGCCTGCGGCTCGCTTCAGTGACTACAGCTCGAGTAATGGTGGTTTGAATTTCACGCTCTTTGTGAGCGTTGCGCGGCTGTGGCTAGAGCGCTCGTGGCTTCACTCTCAGTGATTTACAGCTCTTTGAACAGACGCGTCTGGTTAGCCTTCGACCATCCCATCCTTGTCGCCAGTGTTGTGGAGCGATGGTAAGGAAGAGGCGTGAGACCAGAGCGTACAACTAACAAGGCTTTATTGCAAGAATAAAGGGTTGTCGCGTCTGCTTGCTAACTTGCAGACTAGCGGGCGACAACAGGCTGGCTCTGCTCGACAGCCGGCTTATATAGCCGACTGTCAAATGGAGCCAGCCAATGGGAGCGGCTGGTGCTCCCGCTCAAACAGCGGACCTGGTTGGGAACTCCCACCAGTTCCACGGACATAACAGTGAGGATCTTTCTGCATATTGGCTTCCAGTTCCTTCAATTTGTCCTGCCGTATCATCTGTTGTTCTTTTCCTTGTTTCTTTTTGCTGCATAAGCTATTGTTAGGTCCCTTATGTAGGCTTTTGTTGTGTCCCACAGATTTTGTAATGTTGTTTGCTCTTTCAAATTTATCTCAAAGAATGCTTTTAATTCTTTTTCCAACATTTAGGCATATTCTTTTTCTTTTAATAGGCTTCTGTTGAAGGTCCATTTCCCATTTCTCCCCTTCCCTTTCCATTTCATTTTTACGGGGTTGTGATCGGTCCAGGTTTTTGGCATGATATCAATCACCTCGATCTCCTTCCCAAATCCTGAATCCATCCATATCATGTCAATTCTCGACCACAATTTATGTGAGTTTGAGAAAAAGGTATACTGTCTTTCTTGAGGGTTAATTCACTCCAAATATCTTTTAGGTTCAATTCTTGCATCATTTTGTCAAATGAGATTGGGAGTGTTCTCCTCTTCTTTTTATTTTTCTTACTACTTATATAATCTTTTTCTATATCGGACACTGCATTATAATCCCCTATTACACACATCTTCCTGCTCTGTTTCTACTATTTTTGGGTGGAGTTTATGATAAAATTCCTTTTGGTTTGTGTTTGGTGTATAAATTGTTGCCAACAATACTGTCTTTTAGTTCAAGGTTATCTCTATCAGTAACATCTTTCCATTATCATCTCCATACATCTGCCTTGGTCTCAGCCATTCCTTTATATATACTGCAATATCTTTTTTCTTTTTATTTGCCAAGGCCACCAAATTTGGGAAATTCTAGAATACCTCCATATTGTTTTGGAATATGGACCTCTTGGAGGCATACAATATCTACATTTTGTTTATGAAGCTTTGCCAGTGTCTGTTTCCATTTGGTTTGTGAGTTCATTCCATTTATGTTAATTGATAGCAGTGTGGTTCTGTCATCCAGTTTATTGTTTATATACAACAACTCTCATTTCTCTCCTTCGCCTAGGCTCTCTCTGTGGTCTAGTACTTCCTTCATCCACGCGGCCCTTCCGCTCTCTTGGTTCTTGGTCCAACTCCTTATCTTCTGATTTTTGTTCCTCTAGGCTGCTCTTCTTTACTCTCTTGTTCTTCTTCCGTCCCCAGATACCGCTCATAAAACTCCTACTTTTACGGGGTATACTTCTCCAGCATATCAATTTTGAATATTTTTTCTTACCAGGATAACAGACATTTTTCCCGGATGAGCCACCTAAACATCTTATTATTGATCAATAATTATCTTATTCTTGATCAATTGGGTTGATTATATTTGTTAATTTCTCCTCTGCTCCATAATCCTTCTAGGTGTCTTGCTTCAGGGTTACCACCTCCTTTCCTTTATAAATCAGCGGCTCATCTCTCATTCTTCCATATAGCTGATCCCTGGTTATTTTCCTCGTAAACCATACATGAACTTCTCTTGGCAGTTTGTTCCTCTCTGCATAATTTGTATGCACTCTGTACATTTCATCTACATAATTCCAGATCTCCTGTTTGTCTTTTTGAAGGATGCCAGCTATTAGTTCTGCCATGAGGTTGGGTATATTTTCTTCTCTGTCTTTGATCACATTCTGGAATCTTAGGAAGAATGCCAATTTTTCCATTTCCAGGTGAAGTACTGCAACCTGAAGGTCCCTATGCACTGCCATCCAGTTTTGTTCTGTCACTTCTAGTTTCTTCTCCACTTGCTCTGTTCTAGCTTCAACTGTTTTTATTTTCTGCTCATACTCTTTTTTTAAAAAAAAAAAACCTGCCTATTATACCTTATTTTTTAATCATTTCTCTTAGAATACTTTTTAAAAGAAAATGGCTATAGAATTAAACAAGTCTTTTTTATTTCAAAGGTAGTGTTTTGGATTAAAGCAGTGTTATTTTAATCATTTCAAATTTTGCAATGTATTAACAGGACTAGAAATTACGATTTTAAAATAGCATTCTTTCTTAGAAAACAGGGATGTTTCCATACAAATTTACTGAAATAACTTGAAAGCAGCTACCGCTAGTGATGTCATTTTTATATTAATCTGGATGCCAGTTCTATGTATTCTGGGTTTTAATTACACTGCACAATTTTGATTCTAAGCAAGGCACAATTATTGGAAGTTCAAAGGACCATTAAGCAGGCAACATAGGATAAACGTAACCTCTCATGTTTCCCCCCAAATTTATATTATTTATGGTTCATTGATATCAGCTAACTCTTTCGCTATGGAAGATCCTAATGCCAGATGCAAGTTCCATCACTGCCCTTGAAACAGGCACAATTATTTGCTTGATGTCCATAGACCGTCTGTTCTTTCAGCCAATCCGTCCATAGGCATTCATTGGGTGTTGCAATGGGACAAGGTTCTCTAGGGCAGGCAGTAATCTAAGTGCAAAACATTATATCAGTTCCCCATTTTTCTATTCTGAAATTATATTTTATAATGTATAAACATTTATCATTTATCAGTGTAAAGATTCTGACAATTTGTAAATTGTTTCTAAAATCCATATGTGCTTTGAAATAAGACAAGGATAGAACTTTGGAGAATTATAAATACACATATTCCAACATCAGTGCATAATGAATTATTTCAACATAGAAATCTATATTAGTACAAGATTTTTTTCTGATTTTTTTCTGAATCAAGATTTTTTTCAAGATTTTTTTCTGAATTAGTTGAACATTCAGACTATAGTTTTGTACCAAAATGACATTTGTGCATGTAAGAAACTGTTATGTGTCACCTTGATATCTACAATGTGCACATTAAGTGCAGAAAAGCATCTTGGAATTATGCAGCATGGATATTTTGCTGTCCTCCTTCTCTTAATATTAAGAGAAGTGATGATGTTGATAATACTGTTATACAGGGCCAATAGAAGAGTGGTCTCTGAGCATTGTTAGTTTCTTGCAGACATTTCATTACCCAACTCAGACAGCCAAATCAAGGAACAATCAAGAAAAAAACACGCTCACCAACACAGATAGAGCAAGTCACTGTATTTAAACAGAGAGCAGAGGGCACACTGAAGAGGTTTCCTAGTTGGATAATGAAACATCTGCAAAAAAACAACCAAACTCAGAGAGCACCATGAACTCCACAAGTACGGTTGTCTAGTGTGCAGAAATAATTTGGTAGCAAAAGGGCTAAATATAACAAGGGTAAGATTAATTCTTGTATGACTAGCATAAAAAATTATGTGTTCTCCATCTTAATAGGTATTATTTGGATAGAATTATGCTTTAGATATTATTTGAACTGAATTACACTTTCTAGTTAGGGTAATGAAACATCTGCAAGAAAACAATCAAACTCAGAGAGTACCAAGGACCGCACACTTATAACTAGTGGTATGCCAAATGTCTAAAAGTTGAAAAGTTCTGACTTCCGAGTCCAGACTATCCTATTCTATCATTAGAACTTCTTTTCTGGTAGTTTTGTAAGTGGTACCTTCAAAAAATATGGTCTCCCAACCTTAATTTTTAGGAAAAGTAACATTTTGAATCACTTTTGCTAGACCTCTGCAGTTTGTGGAGTTTGCAGGAACATCTTACGTTGATTTTCTAATAGTAAATAACTACTAAAGGGACATATGGCATAGTTGAGAAAATTGTTCCAAAGCTCAGTGAGATAGGTATACAAAACAATTTTAGGTATTATGATATGGCTAGAAGGACTACTGTCCCAAGACATGTTGCTGTAGTATTTGGATGTACCATTTAGACAAGGTAAGTTAAAGCTTATGCATTCTAACAAATCTGCTTATTCTACCTACATTCCTCACACACACACACACACACACACACACACACACACACACACGATTATAGGTATATTATTATATTATTACTTATATATGTGTTGCTGCACAAATGATATAGTAATAGTAGATTATATTTCAATCTAATTGTTATACTTACTTTACAGTCACAGCCCATTTTGTATTTCTTCTTTAGATTTTCCTTTTGAGAGTGGGTAAGGTCATCCCATAGTTTAATAAAATCACATAAATAAATAAAAACTCTTCCATCTGGTGAAATTTTACCTGAAGTAAAGAAAATGTTGAAACTAGGGACTCAGACATTCTCGTTGCCAAAGACTTAATCCATAGGCAGTAAATCAATCAAATTGTCTAGTAGAATATTTAACCGGTTATAGGTCCAGAAAAGATTATAATGATTTAAATTTATGTCACCAACACTTACAAACCTTGTCCAGTTTTTCTCTCCTTGCTCTCATATTTTTAAATTATTGAGGGAAAGGGGAAATAAAAAGTATTGTTTTATTTTAATTTATTCAAGGAGGTAGATCCACATATCTTGTCACAGGCAGGAGTGATGCTCATTTGCTCTTTTAGGATGCTATAGCCATTACTCTTCACACTGCTCTGACTCATCTAGAACAGCGGGGGGGCTATGCTTTTCGTGGATCTTAATTCTGTATTTAACACAATTCTTCCACATAGATTAGTGTCTAAACTTCTGGACCTTGGGCTTTCTAATTCAATCTGCCTTTGGATTATGGATTTCCTTTCTGGCCACTCACAGAGAGTCAGATTAGGTAATCATACCTCTTCAGCCCTTATTCTTAACCCTGGTATTCCACAGAGTTGTGTGTTGAGTCCCTTACTCTATACTCTTTATGTGCATGACTGCATTCCCACTCACGCTAGTAATACTATTGCTAAATTTGCAGATGATACAACAGTGGTGGGACTTATCTCGGGGGAGGGGGGGATGAGTCTGTCTACTGAGATGAGGTGGACCAGTTGCTTTCATGGTGTGGAGATAATAATTTGGTCCTCAATACCAGTAAGACCAAGGAACTGATAGTGGGTTATAGAAGGAACAGATCAGACATTCAGCCCTTGTTTATCAATGGAGACTGAGTGGAACAAGTGGCCAGTTTTAAGTTTCTGGGTGTTACTCTAAAAGAGGATCTGACCTGGGGTGACCACATTGTACCACTGGTCAAAAGGGCCCAGCAGAGATTATACTACCTGAGACTTCTCAGAAAACAACAACTGAATGAAAAACTGCTGGTGACCTACTGCTGCACCATTTTAACATACTGCAACTCTGTATGGTTTGCCAATTGCACAGTAGCAGATAGGAAAGCACTCCAGAGGGTTAATGTCATTGCCCAGAAGATCATTGGTTACCCTCTCCCCTCTTTGGAAGAGCTTTATAGCTCCTGCTGACTTAAAAAGTTCAAAACATTCTCAAAAATCCATCTCATCCTGGGAACCCTTTTTTTAAACTATTACCATCTGCCAGATGGTACAGAATAATAAAAACAAGGACAAATAGGCTGAGCTTTTATCCCAGGACAGTAACTCTTTTGAATTCTGCTGTATAGTGCAGTGTTGGTATGGTGTCGGGAGGTTTCGGTCCAATGTATAAAGGGTGAAGGATGTGTGTTTGTGTTTATTTTCATGGCCATGGTAATGATGTGCAGTGAAGATGGTGTTTGATTTCGTTGTACGAGGTGCAATGATAATAAAGTAAACTAAACTAAACTAAACTAAATTAGTTTACTTCTATATGTTACATACACAGGAAGAACAAGAGAGAGAGGGACGGAAGGAGAGGGGGAAGGCGAGAGTAATTATTTTCTAGAAATGTGTACATTTTTAACAGAAATGTTACTGATGGCTATAAGGCTTAAATGTTGATTTTGTATGTTGACCTTTACAATTGTCTTTCATATACTATACCTGAAAGGAGATACTGATTCTTCTTGTTGTCACTATTTTCTAATGTTACCCCACAGATTGCCGATGTCAAAGGTGTAAAAACATACTGAACATCTTTTGCTTTTTCAAAACCTTTAAACATCTATTAGGAAAAATAAAATTCTGTATAAGCCTGTATGAAACAGTTTAACATTATTCTGTGTAATATTAATATTTGCACTACTTAGCTTCCAGTGGTGGCATTCAATTTTTTTTTACTACCAGTTCTGTGGGCATGGCTTGATGGGCGTGACAGGGGAAGGATACTGTAAAATCTCCAGTCAGAGGTGGTATTTGCCAGTTCTCCGAACAAAATGTCCGCTACCGGTTCTCCAGAACTGGTCAGAACCTGCTGAATGCCACCTCTATTAGCTTCCCACTTTTTCTACTGAGCTTGCTAAATCTCTGTACAAGAGAGCATAGGAAAAGTGGTTTGTTTGATTGCTTGTTGTTGCTAGAGGGATAGGGGTTATTATTTTTATACTTTGTACATTGGGTTTTTAAGTTTTTGTAAGCAACAAATACTGTGGACACCCATGAATGAACTAGATTATCACATTAATTATAATACTACGGACAACCAAGAAAACAGAAAATGGATAATTGAACAAGCTTCTGCAAGTTTCACTCAAAGCACAAATAAGGAAGCTAAAGTTATTCTACTATAGACACATATAAAATATATTCCAGTTACCAAGTACCAAAATTTTGAACACATGACAATGTGGATGCTGTAAAGATCATAAGTGTGAGGATTAATCATAAGTCACTTGATTTTCAATGCCATTGTATATTCAAAAGGTCACTAAATTAATGGTCATAAATCAAGGACTACTATACAATGCTTCCTTTACAATGATTTCCCCCTTTGTAGAGTAGGAAGAACTAATGGTCAGGATAGGGACAGATCTTCATGGAGAAAATCTGAGTGGTCGCTAAGAGTCGAGAATGATTTGGTGGTACATAATCAAACAACAACTGGCCACAAGAGAAAACTTTACAAAGGGGGAAATCATTGTAAAGAAAGGGTTGTAGTGTCATATTTGCAACTTCCCTAGCTAGACTCCCACAGGGCACTCAAAGCATGGCTCTTCCCCCAGGCTCTAAGATAAGGCAAGGTGAAGCTGAGATGAGAGTTGGCCTCAATACCATTGTGGCTCCAGGTCTTCCTGCTTTTTAGTTTTATCTTTGTTGGTTTATGATTCTACAACTGTTTCACTGATTGTAAGCTGCCCATGGGTTTTAATATGGGCAGTTATGCAAATGTAATAAATAAATATATATATAAAATGATTTGCAAACAGTATGGAAAAAGGAACCATCAATCAAAAATGTTTTTAAAAACAAAGGGACAAAATCCTTTCTGATAAGAATTAAAGTCAGCACTTTGAATTCGGATCAGAAATGAAATGATAAGGGCAGGTATTTCAAAACAGATTAGTACATCCAAATCTATTTTAGGTAAGCTGCTGCTTTCTATAGTACATAGTACCTTCATTATTTAATTTGGATTTATTTATTATGGCAAATACATAGACATAGTAGTTCAAATGTTAATGTCCAGTCCATCCAGCCATTCAAGTACAGGGTGGTTTATGTTGAAAAAATCAGACACTGGGCCAGTGTAAGCTTTTGATGGACTTTCGGACACAATATGATGGATATTTTGTGGAGGAGAACCACAGTCACACTGATGGGTAGAGACAAGACCCCACTTAAACAAGGAGTCTTGGCAGCTACCATGATGGGTTCGGATCCTGTTCAGAGTTGACCAAAGCCGGAGAGGAAGGTCAAAACCTGACACCTTTTGTGTAGGGTCATCTACATAACTACCTGTATCTGGGTGTTCAGCAGCCCATTTGGCTTCCACTGTGAGTTGAAGTATTTATCCTGGCTATGAATGAAATGCTATTTTTCTCCCTTAGCTACTGAGTTATTATGTAACTAAAGGTGTTGACTCAGAAATGAGTTCCAATACAGTTGAAGAGGAAACTGAGTTTTCCACTGATTAATTAACAGCCTCTCTGGATCTCTCTTGGCTTGTTTTCTTTTTGCCACAGTTAAACATTTTGTATACATGGATAACAGGAGCATCTAATTTCCAATCCTTGATCTGCCAGCATAGTTGCAGAGCTGCAGGTCAGGATGAAGGGACTAAAGTGTAAATCATGTCAAAGGATAGCCACTATGGGGAGCAGGTGAGATGCTTTCAATTTGCTTGTTTGTTTTGAGTTTTTGGAAAGAGATGTATTTTTAATGCAAAGTTAAAGAGAGTGGGGAGAGGCACTATTGGCATAATTGGATAATAAGTGAGACTGTTCTGCTCGCTGACCAGGAAAGGCACTTTCTGATTGGCTACTAGTTGCCATTCAGAGCTGCAAACGTGCATTACAAGAACATCAATACTATTTCATTGAATAGTAAAATAGTGAGAAGAGCTTGTTTACTTCCTGCTTTGTTTCAGATCTGAAAGGAAGGCTTGCTTGAGCACTATCCATCTACTATCCACTGGTTGTAAAGTCAATAGAAAGGCACCGAGCAAATTTTAATCTCCTAAATGCATATACGTTTTCCTGCCATTTAAGCCTCAAAACAGAGAAAGGCTTTTAGATACCTTTTTTTGTTTGATTTTATACTGGATGATTTTCAAAGAAGAAACTGAATCTATAATCTCTTCTTTACTCCATATTGTTGCACAAATCACTGAAATAAAATAAAACATTATTGAAAAAATGGATTGAAAAAATACCTGGTTTTTTTATCTCCAAAAGTCATGGTAATATGAAAGCAATTATTTATTTTATTAAAATGATTTACATCCTGTCTTTCAGGATTCAGATCTTACAAATTAGCTTACATGCTATGGTGATAAACAGACACAAATCAAGAATAGTTTTCAAAAACTAAGAAGATCTTTGTTCCTTGTCCCAGGACAATTGGTAGCATTGGCCCTCTGAAAGAGGGAAGGAAAGAAATTCTGTAGCAGGATGCCATGATGGTCTGTGTCCAGGATTCTTCCCACCTTAGGCTTTCTCAATCTTAGCATCTTTAAAATGGATGGATTTAACTCCCAGAATTCCCAGCATCCTAGCTAGAAAATTTCTGAAAGTTGAAGTCCACTCAACCAGCTATTCTCAAAGATAAGTTTAAAAAAAAAAACGATATAATGTGTGGGTAGAAGGAGTCCTTGACTCACAATCACAATTGTAACCAAAATTCCTAAGGAAGGCAGGATAGATAGATAGATA